GTGTAGCTTTAAAACTGCCGCTCAAGAAAGTGCTTGAAACGGCCAGTAATTATAGCAAGACTCGGCCAGGCTTATTTGTGGAAGAAATCTCATTTTTGCGGCTCTCCGCCAACCATCAACTGGAGCCGACAGGTGATTAATCAATAGATAATTAGTGCTTCTTGTTACTGCACCAACCATACTCTCCTTCATTGGACAGGTAGTTCTCGACTTACGACGGCCGTTGAGCCCCAGATTTCCGGGGTCGTGTGATCCAGATCCAGACGCAGGGCAACCGACTCATATTTATGACGGTCGGAGTGTCCCGGGGGATCATTGTGTGATTGGTGACCCTCTGACAAGCCAGCTTCACTTAACAACCGAGTTTCTAAGTTAACAACGAGGTCGTAAAATGGGGCAAAACTCACTTTTGGGGGGGCTCCGTCGTGGTCGTAAGACAGGGACTATCTGGACTGCAGCAAAGAGCCTAAGGATGGGAGAGAGGAGGCATAAAAAAAAAACCCGGCAGTTACACAACTCTTTTAATCCTTTCGTTGAACAACACGGTGTTTGTGCAACCTGGTTTCACAATCCAGTCACAAGACAACTAGCCAGGAACAGGTTTCACTCCGCAGGTGACTAGCGCTGACGCCGAGTTCGAAATCCGCCTTGCGCACTCCTTCCAACTCTGCCCATCTCCAGACCTCCTGATTTCAGGGTTAAGGCAGTGTGTGTGTGTGTGTGTCCTTATCAATGTCCTCGACTTACGAGCGGTTGCTTAGCAACCGTTCCAAGTTACGACGGACCTGGTTCTGACGTTCCAACAGCGGCTCCCCCTGGTGGTGACAGGACTGCACATCCAGCACGCAGCAACTGGCGTTTTGCGGCACCCCGCAGCCACGTGGCCGTGTTCTACGGTGTGTTTGCCGAACGAAAACCGGCAACGGATGGAAACTCACCAAGGAGAGAACGTTCTAGAACCCAGGAGACATTTCCCGACAGGGAGAACGATTAATCAGTGGAACAACTTGCCTCCAGTAGTTGTGGCTGCTCCATCACGGGAGCCTTTTAAGAAGAAATTAGACAACCATTTAGGGCTTCTTCCCTGAATAGGGGGTTGGACTAGAGGACCTTCAAGGTCCCTTCCAACTCTGTTACTCTGCTATCCTTCCTTCCTTCCCTCCTAGGAAGGAAGGAAGGAAGGAAGGAGTAGTGACCTCCAAAAATTCTTCTCTAACCTGTCGGGAAACAGACTTTACCATGTCCCAAAGGACGGACTCGTCCCCCAACCCGATCTACTGGAGGTTCCATGGAGGGTTGGGACAATAAAACAATAAGACGATAAGAAAGAAAGAAAAAAAGAAAGGAAGGAAGGAAGGAAGGGTCCCTCCTTCCTTCCTTCCTCATCACTGGAGGTTTTTAAGAAGAGATTGGACAGCCCTTTGTCTGAAATGGTATAGGGTTTCCTGCCTGAGCAGGGGGTTGGGCTAGATGACCTCCAAGGTCCCTCCCAACCCTGTTATTTTGTTATTCTATTCTTTCTTTCTTTCTTTCTTTCTTTCTTTTCCTTCCTTCCCTCCCTCCCTCCCTCCCTCCCTTCTTCCTTCCTTCCTCCCTCATCACTGGAGGTTTTTAAGAAGAGATTGGACAGCCCTTTGTCTGAAATGGTATAGGGTTTCCTGCCTGAGCAGGGGGTTGGACTAGAAGACCTCCAAGGTCCCTTCCAGCTCTCTTATTCTGCTAATTGCATCTGGTTTTTGGCAACAAACCAACGAGGAGTTTGCTTTACAACTGGGATAGCCGCAAAACAGGTTGTGAAATCAGGTGGGTCACGCGGGTGACCTGCTTTGCAATCGTTGCAACTTAACGACTGCAATGGGCAGGCTGCCTTACGGTCGTTAAGTTGGGGACTGCCCGTAAGATTTCAGCCTCCCCCCCCCGGCAAAGTTTAAAAACCATTTTCTGCTTCTCCCCGCAGGTGAGCGAGGAGCCCACAACGGGAGAGTGTACAAGTGTGCAAGAATTGGTGTAAGGGTTGGGAGAGACGGTTGGGGGTCAAGAGGACTTGAGGCTGGATCAGGTCATTGGCTGGGAATGGCGTTTGGGCTGGCCCGCCTTGTCTGCCTGTTGTGTATGAGCAGGATCAGGCGACTGGCAGGTGGCAGAGTTGTACCAACCCCGTCATCTGTTAAATATCTCATTTATTTATGCGCCAGGCTCCAACGATTATTCCATGCCTCTAGAAAAGGGTGTGATTTGTATCAAGCTGTCAAGTATTACTAATCCCCGGTTTGTTGCAACTGTTTATCCTCTGTGGATTGCAATCCCTGGCGCTCAATTTCCATATCAGGTTGCTTCCAGCTTGGTGAAGGGCCTGCAATGTTTGAATTTGCACCGCGTGGTTGATTCAGGTAGCCCTCGTTTAGCGGCCGGCTCTTTGAGTGACCGTTCGCAGTTACGATGGTGATGAAAAAATAACTTTGCGACTGGTCTTCGTGTTGACTTGCTGCAAAGCAAAAGTGAGGCCAGTTTCATAAGCACAGTCACAGTGTCGGTTAACGGCGGCTTTGTTTAATGGCCAAAATGCCAGTCCTTCCTTCCCTCCCTTTCCTTCCTCCCTCTGCCTTTCTCTTTTTCTTTCTTTCTTCCTTTCTTCCTTCCTCCCTCATCTCCTTTTTCTTTCTCGTCTTTCCTTCATTTCTTTGTTTCCTCCCCTTCTTACTTTTTCTTTTTTTTCTTCTCTTCTTTCCTTTCTTTCTCCTTCCTTTTCTTCCTTTGGCAAAGCCAAAAGGGAAGGAAGATTCTCTTTTCTTTCTTTTTCTTTTCTTCCTTCCTTCATCTTTCTTTCCTTCTTTCATCTTTCTTTTCCTTTCTTCCTTTCTCTTTCCTTCCTTCATCTTTCTTTCATTCCTCCTTATCTTTCTTTCTTTCCTTCCTTCCTTCATCTTTCTTTTTCTCTTTCCTTCCTTCATCTTTCCTTCCTTCCTTCCTTCATCTTTCTTTTTTCTTTTTCTTTCTTTCTTTCCTTCCTTCCTTCATCTTTCTTTTTCTTTCTTTTTCTCCTTCCTTCCTTTCCTTTCCTTATCTTTCTTTCTTTCTTTCCTTCCTTCCTTCCTTCATCTTTCTTTTTCTTTCCTTCCTTCCTTCATCTTTCCTTCCTTCCTTATCTTTCTTTTTTTCTTTTTTTCTTTTTTTCTTTCTTTCCTTCCTTCATCTTTCTTTTTCTCTTTCCTTCCTTCCTTCATCTTTCTTTGTTTCTTTCCTTCCTTCCTTCCTTTCCTTCTTTCTTTCTTTCTTTCTTTCTTTTCTGGCTTTGCTTTCTTTTTCCATTCTGTACTTTTCTCTCCCTTCCGTCTCAAATGATTTCATTTTGGCCTCTTTATTCTAACAAAGCTATTTCCCCCCCCCAAAAAAGAGAAACATTAAGGAGCACCATCCCCCCCACCCCCAGTCACCAGCTCTCAGCCTTGATTTAGATATGGCTTTATTTTCTTTTTCTCAGGTGAGTATTTGTGCATCTCAAAGACCGGCCAGGGCAAGGAAGTTTGCCAATTCTTCCCCTTGGCAGAGATCCTCTGTCTTTCCAAACAGGGAGAGACTTCCTCGGCGGTGCATCTCCTGAGTTGTACATGCAGGCTTGGTTAACGAGCAGAGGCACTGGTGGGGGGTGGGACAGAGTTGGCCATCCTCAAAAAAAACACACACACCCAATTCTCCCCCTCCCCGACGGAGAAATCAGGAAAGGTGACGGCGAGATCTTATATCTGATCTGAAAACTAGGAACCCAAACTGGGAGTTAGAGAAAAATCTCTTTCGGGGGAAATCAAAGCATTTGAAGATCTCGCCTCCTTTGCAGAATCTCTGGACAGAAAGCAAAAGGTGTGAATTTTGCGATAGCCAGAAAGACATCAGGGGTAACGCTGATCCCCTTTCTCATCCGCTGGGCCCCAGAATCATTGTAATTTGTTCCTACAGGTAGCCCTCGACTTACAAAGACTTAGCTTGGCGACCGAAGTTACAACGGCACTGAAAAAAAGGGACCTAGGACCGGTTTTCACACTTACGACCGCTTGCAGCGTCCCCCGTGGTCACGTGATCAAAATTCAGACGCTTGGCAACTGACTCGTACTTACGACGGTCACAGCGTCCCAGGGGGGTCATGTGATTCCCTTTGGTGACCTTCTGACTACCAAAATCAACGGGGAAGCCAGATCCACTTAACGACCGTGTTACTAACTTAACAGCTGCAGTGATTCCCTTAAACAACTGTGGCGAGAAAGGTCGTAAAACGGAGCAAAAGCTCGCTTAGCAACAGAAATTTTGGGCTCCCTTGTGATCGTAAGTCAAGGACTAACTCCTTTTCTTGTCTGAGGGATTGGTCAAGGCCCTGGAATTGTCCTAATTTCTTACTGGCTCTGTGGAACCTCCAAGGTTAGAGGAAGTCTATCGTGGGAAAGCATGTCCCTTCAAACTATGATCCAAACTGTTTCGGGGTGCCAGAGCAAAAATCTGGGCCTGCTTTTGTGGCATCTCGTCTCTCTCCCACCAAGAATTCAGCTGGGTCCCTGATGGCTCTCCAAGGTAAGCACCCCAAAAAGGCACAGCAAAAGTGAGGTATCCACAAGAGAGGGACAAATGCGAGGGACAGGTGTACAAGGAACCAAACAGCGGGACGCCGCGGGCACATCATGGATAACGGGAAGACGGAACAGCATCTCCGGGACAGTGAATCTCGGACAGAACAATAGGATTATCAGTTCAATGGTGCATCCAAGCATTTGGATCAGTCCTTCCCATTGAGACGTAAGGAATTCGTTTAAAGGGAATCTCTCGTTTTAGATCAGCAGCACGGGCTCGCCGGATTACCACCACGGCCATACGCGCATAACCGGGACTCCAGAACGAGAGTCGGTGGAGCCCTTAAAAAATGAATCCTGATTGTCACATGAGACGGCGCAGGTGAGCGTGTTTGTCCTCTTGGTGCGCCAGCAGCAAGGTGAGCCCTCCTTCCTGACCCCCACTCAAGTTTTGGGGTTCCCTTCAAAGAATTTTTGGAGATCGCCGTACGGGAATACGGGACTCCCTGCTTTGGTTTCGAATGTATCCTGAGCGAGGCGGACTAATTTCCAAGCAATGGTGTAGTTGACCTATGAGGCCATTCCTGGACATCATACAGCGAGGACATTCCCCAGATATCCGTCGCGGGGCGGGTTTTTCGCTCCAGATCCTCTTCCGCAGAGGACGGAGCTGGTCTTCAGAGATTGCTTTCTCGCAGAAGTCCACTGAGGCTGCACGGACGTCTCTGCTCCAGCCGACGACCGGACAGCAGACGCCGTAAGGGGGAGGTCGAGTTCAGATCTCCACAGCTCTGCAGATGGATGCCGTTGGCAGGACTCCCCAGCCTTAACACCTGAAAAACCCAAGGAATCGCTTGCTGAGAAAGATAGGTCATAAGCAGAGAGGAAAAGGGGAGGATCTGGATGAGGAAAAATGATCACGGGTCTCTCAGGGTTAGCCTTGCGAGGTAACTCAGGATAAGAAGCACAACTTCTGTTTCTTTGTTTTATATTTTATATCTATCTTGTTGACAAAGGAAAATAAATCTGTTAAAATGGAAATGTGGCTGATCTCTTTACCGCAGTCACGTGATCATCATTTGCAGGGCTCCCTGCCAGCAGCTTCCCACAAGAAAAGTCACTGGGGAAGCCAGCAGGAAATCGTAAATCACTTCCGTTCCCTCGGCTTGATTGCCTGCCTACAATCATTTTGTTTCTCTGTTTAAGTAAAGCAATACCTCCAAAATGATGACCCAACGAGCATAGTTTGTCTAATGTCTGTACTGGCACTCAAAACAAACAGCTCACAGTCACAACTGCAGTAACCTGATAATTACTTCCGATGTTAATTGCTCTGAATTACAATTATTTTCCTGTTGTTGTCTTTGATAAGGTCAGATAAGGCGAGATAAACCTATCCATCCTGACGGTCCTGACACACACACACACACACACACACACACACNTCCAGGAAAGAAAAAAAAAAAAAAAAAGTCCGTAGCGAACAAGGGGTCCGCTTAACGACCGCTGTGAAAACGTCATAAAATCGGGTCTGGGCGGGTGAATTGCTTTGCAGCGGTCAGCGACTTACGACGGTCAATGAGGATCGTAGCTCAAGGGCTACCTGACCAGGTAAGCCCGCGAGTTACCATCACAATTCAGCCTACGTTGCTAAGGGAAAGACTGGCTCGGCGGATTTTGCCCCATTTTACGGCCTTCCTCGTCTCCGTTGTTAAGTGAATCACCCGGTTATTAAGTGAACCTGGCTTCTCCCCTTGACTCGGCCCGTCAGATGGTCACAAAAGGGGATCACGTGACCTGCCGGGACGCTGCAACTCGTCATAAATATGAAGCCGTTGCCAAAGGTCTGAATTTTTATCCCATCACCCTGCGATGGATGTGAAGGGCGAAAAACAGTCCTACATCCCCTTTTGCGGCGCCGTTGTAACTTTGAACGGCCGCTAAATGAATGGTGGTAACTAGAGGACTTGCTGCGCTGCCTGCAGAATTTCTAAAAATTAAGCGACCATACGGGTGACACTTCTTTGAAACCGGTGGCTTTGGAGTAAGCGTCGGTTGTCATCGTTTTAAGTCTGTGTGACGACAATTAGTGTGACCACAACACAGGAAAATGATGATTCTAGGGGGGGTGGGAGGGTGAACTCACACCACTAGGCAGTACAGCCCTCACCTGTTTCCGCCGACGAATGAGAGGCCTCGTCTCCAGACCCTTTGGTGCAAAATACTTCCTGATCGTCGCTTTCTGTGGGTGGTGGTGGTGGAAGGGAGGAAAAAGCAGGAGAGAAAAGAGTTAAAATCTGGGGGGGTTTCGTGCCCCCCCCAAAAAGGTAGGTTTGATTTGAGCCGGGAAGGAGAGGGGGGGCCACCCCGTGGCACCGTGGCTCCCCGGCCTGTATTAAATTCAGACAAGGGCTTGGCCATCTCCACTTTTCTGTGGCTTCTCCACCTACTGGAAGGGCGTTTTCTGCAGAAGTTGGGGGGTGCCCCATCACTGGAGGCTTTTAGGAAGAGATTGGACAGCCACTTGTCCAGAATGTTACAGGATTGACTCCCTGAGCAGGGGGTTGGACTAGAAGACCTCCAAGGTCCCTTCCACCGCTGTCATTCAGTCATACCTACCAGCCTCCCTGGACATGCCCATTCCAGGGTCGCTGTGGGACCGCAGCAGGGAACAACGGATCAAGGGGGACTGGCAGGACGTTTCGCTGCTCCGGCGCTGCTGTCTGAGCCCTTTGCGCGCCGACACCGCCGTCTTGGGCTTCACGCGCACCTCGGGAAAACACGGGCCCGCGCCGTGGCCGAGACCCTCCAGGCG